CATTCAATCACTGCTCACACCTCTAGCCATACATGACTTCTATATTACACAAGCGAACCACTGCTGACACCTCTTATCGCGTAATGCATTCACACCTAAGAGTCGTTGCTTTCATTTGTAACACAAAAACACAAACATTTCACTCACGAGTTGTGACACAAATACCACTCAAAGACATTCATATCATATATTTGTGTCACTTATTATCTCTTTATATCATCACAACAGACAACACATTACTCGTAAGTATTGACTATTAAGACCACCAATTGATCCATTCATACAATACTCTCAATAACCACACCATTAGATCCACGACTCGTCTAAACAAATCCATTCATCACTTGATATTCACCACAAGTGTTGAGTCCATCGACTGATCCGCGCTTTTGTGATCAGCACTCGGTTTATGTCGAAACGATCGACAATTACTGGCGAGGAATGGAGTGACGACGACATCAGCGGCGAAGACAGTGGTTTGTGGACCAGTTTTGGGTCAACACCACCGAAGAGGAGTCGACACCAGTCGACGAATAGCAGTGATAGTGTTTGGCAGACATCGGGACAGTTGTCGTTGTCCTCCACTACCGGCAGTCAAAATCAAGACAATCTGTGGTCAAAAGCGTATAATAGTTTCCGTGAAATCGGGACTTCAATCAAACAAAAGCTCTTAAGCATTACGTCTTCAGACAATCGTCAAGCGATGAATAGTTACCACTCGGTGTCCAACGGCGCCAATGAGTCCCCCATCAGATCCAATGCCAGAGGTATGAACGCCAGCGACGGTATCACTACTACACCCACCCATTCGTTGGCCACCAATGATAATAGCATTAGATATGTGACCACCAGTTGTGGCCAACCAATGGTTCAGACCATTAATACCTATCGAGTAATTCCCGTTCAACAGAATTATAATAGTTTTTTAATAATTAACTCAACGCCAACTCCACCGCAATCCTCGGCCGCGACTCTCATTAACAACGGCACCGGCGGTCACATTAGTGGTCAACCGGTCGTGCATTTAGTGCCCTTAAGTCCGCAACAATATAACCGAATTAGTTCTAACACTAGTCCTAATCTCACAGCAGTTCCGGTCATGAAATGCGAACATTGCGGTCAAATAGCGTCCTCTCCGTTGACCGCTGGCCGTCCGTGCGGTCACTGCTCTCGTCATAACAACACATCTCGACTACAGTCCACACCCGTTGGCCCCAATCGACTACTCACGACCCCTACGGGTGCCTCTCGAAGGCCGCCGACTTGTACTCCAATCCAATCGACGCGTCCGTCAATTAACACCCAATTGTTTTACGCGAACAACGGACCAGTGGTCAGTCGCGGGAACGCCGGCTCACGACTCAGTGTTTCCTCCATTCAAAACGTGATTCCTATGAGTAATTGTGATACAAGAATGAACCGAACATTGAGTCCATCAGTGCATCGATTGTCGAACAACTCATTAATACGACAATCGCTTTCGAAACCCGATTGCATTGATTTGGACGAAGAGATTATCGATAAACAAATGATTAGACGATTGTCAGCACAAGAAGAGTGTATAGAAATCAATGACAACGAAGAGGACAGGGAGTCTATACCGGGTTCGGTGTCTGTTCAGTGCTCTGACGCCGATCTCCGCAATGTTAACAATACTGTGTCTGACAATCAATCGGCGAAAGAGATGGAAGTGGACGAAGTGGTGGTCACGCGTAACAGCGAGTCCAACAATAGTGGCCCTAAATTCCCGATCACATCATTTCCCGATTATATAATGTTCGGTACGTTTAAAGCTGAGGCCAAGTCTGTGGAGTTTACCGATGAAGGGGTTCGGGTGACTAATGTAGCGCCGAATGCGCTCAACACTAAATTCAAGTATCATATTATGATACCATTCGTTGAAATGCAAACCATTAGTATCTGTATAGATAGCTCTCTACCACTCATGTGTTTGCAGCCGATCCATGAGTCAACCGATAAGATTCAGGAGTGCATGGAATTGGGCCACAACTCGAAGAATGGACTTCGATTTGACACCGATTCTGACGGTCGGTTCGCGTGATTCTTGTATTGTCTCATAAATGCTGTAATGAATGTGTTTTTTGTATTGTTTTTTAGACCCGAGAGAACAGAAAATTATAATTGTGTTGAAAGGCGAGAAGATAACCGAAGGATTCGTCAAATTATTGTTCAAACAATGCAATGATTTGAACGCCAAATGCAAGTGCGAACGGATGGACATATCGGACGCCCGACTGGTCATAAGCGCCGCTCGCGAACGAGTCATTAATCTTGAGAACAAAAACCAACGTTTTAATCGACTAATACAGTCCGCAAACGATACGAGCGTCGATCGGTCTAAATCGTTGAACCCGTCGCCGGTGTCCGCCACCGGTCGCTATAATTCTCGATACGCGCCGACGACTAGTTCTGTAGTCACCGGTAGATCTCCATTAAGAAACCGGTCGACTCGAGCCTCACTACCGATTACTCCAATCGTTCAAACGGTCATTGATTTGGACGACGACGAAGACGTGTCCGCCGACCAGACTGTCGACCATTCGTTAGAATCTATTAAAAGGTTTGTGTTATTGTATTATACGTTAAATTATATATAACTTAATTATATATCAATATCTATTGAACACCAGTTCTGTGATCTTCACGTACCCGAAGGACGAGCCGAACGCCATTCAAATAGTAGGCAATGATATGTTGTGTCTAAACAAAGGAGAGTTTCTTAACGATAATATCGTCAACTTTTACCTCAGGTTTGTTGACTGCTTTGTATTTAATTCCCGTTTTAACAGTTATATCACTGTATTTCAGACACTACTATAAGGAAGTGTTGGACGAAGAGATGGCTAAACGGTGTCATATATTTGACACATTATTTTTTATGCAATTAACCGAAAAGCGTGGACCGAAACGAAAGAACCCATCGCTGCCGCAGTCCGACGACCCCTACACGTGAGTCACTGATTGATCAATTGATTTATTGTTAATGTTTTGGTTTAATTCTATCGGTAATTGTGTTTTAGTTTCGATCAACGATACGAAAAGAAGCTCAAGAATTGGACTAAAAATGTCGATCTGTTTTCCAAAGACTTTTTGGTGTTTCCCATTATCCGTGAGTCCCATTGGTTTGTAGCCATTGTCTGCTACCCATCGCTGGTCTTAGACACGGTCTCCACTCTCAAGACATGTGATGATAAGAAGCCGATCACCGAATTTGACGCCGAGGCCAAGGAGTCCAGGTTTGCGCCCATTGTGTAAAATATATGATTGATTTGCTATTAATGTGTATATCTCTTCTCGTGTGACCCACAGGAAGGCATGCATACTATTCATGGATTCGTTGGGCAACGCGTCTTACAAGAAGCCGCTGTCGGAACCGATTCGCGATTTCTTAACGTACGAATGGAAGGCGAAGAAGGGTTCGGATGTAATCGCTTTCAAAAATAGGAATAAATTCCGTGATTACGCGCCCAAAGTGCCCGTTCAGACCAATTCCAGTGACTGCGGACTCTTTGTGTTGGAGTACATCAAAGAGTTCCTCAAATCGCCCGACGATTTGGCGCCCAAACTGATGGACTACCGGAAGGGACTCAAGAAGTGGTTCGCCAGCGAAGGCATTAAAGCCAATCGGGCGGCCATCAGACTTCTCGTACTGCAACGGGTGGCCAATGAAACCATTCGCCAGAGTCTGGAAGATATGATTGATGACAGCAAAGACTCTGATGACGACGACGACGAAGAGAGGGATAAGTCAACTAAAGATGGAGAGACGACGGCCGCCACCGAAGACGAGGATCAGGTGGAAGGCGTGCCGCCCGACGAACTCGGTATGGAAGTGGACAAGTGTTGCGGCACTGACTCGAGGCCACCGTCACCGCCGACGCCGTCCCATAGGCCCGACAGGGCTGAGGCCCGCGACTCGGAATCAGTTCATTGAAATACATTTAATATGAATAATGAATATTTATATTTATTATTATATTTTTTCAGCGCTTTATATAAAATACGAAATGATTGGAAAATATGTTTGAAATGAAACGATTGAAACACTTTTTTGTGAATACTTTTTAATGCATTGATTCATATGTTATATAAACTACTATTAATATTGATTACAAAATTGCATTAATAAAAATGTTTTTTAATTATGGTTTAGTGTTCATTGATTGGTTTGATAGAGAGAGAGAGAGAGAGAGGTCAGCGGCGGTGACGGACACCACAAAAGTGCGACAGCTTTGCCGGTGAGCGACCGCTGGCCGCGCGTTATCACCCAATTCATGGTCAGTGACAGTGATGTCGAGCCGAAGAAACGTTTGACCGCTTTATTGCCGAGAATTGAGGCTTTGATTGTTGNGGGAGAGAGAGAGAGAGAGAGAGAGAGAGAGAAATTACTATATGGTGACAATCAATGGTCTAAACAAATTGCATAAAATATTAAAAGGGGTTTAAGGAGGGGTTGAGAGCCATTATATGGTGTATACTGTTATAAATGCTTGCAATTATAGCCAATAGAGGTCTGTATACTCTCTATAGACTCGACAGACTGTTTGGGAAGAGAATGACGTAATCGTAAGACTCCTCCCATTTGTTTAGCATTTCATATGATTTGAAACATTGATTGAAAACACGTTTGAGTTTTGATTACAAACAACAATCAAAGCCTCAATTCTCGGCAATAAAGCGGTCAAACGTTTCTTCGGCTCGACATCACTGTCACTGACCATGAATTGGGTGATAACGCGCGGCCAGCGGTCGCTCACCGGCAAAGCTGTCGCACTTTTGTGGTGTCCGTCACCGCCGCTGACCTCTCGATCGGTGACCACATCATCGCAATCACCGCCACCTCCTTGGGAACCGTCTGCCGGTGACACCAGTCAGTCCTCTTCATCGATGAGTTGCTGGCAATTGAACGCTTACGCCAAGAGTTTCTCGACGGACACAACGCTTACGCTGAACGCCGACCGCCAGCGACCGGTCATTCATCGGGCGTCCGAAGTGATGGTACGGGTGTTGGCCTCCAGTGTCAACCCATTGGACGTATGGATGAGCACCGGTTACGGCCGATCCATTCTGGACGCCATCCAATTGGCCAACGACTTGGGTATAGCGGCCATCACTCACGACCGCTTGCCGTTGATATTGGGCCGCGATTTTTGCGGCCAAATCGTGCGCTGCGGTCACGGCGTCCGCTACCGACCCGGGGATGTGGTTTGGGGCGCACTTCCGCCCCATTGGCGAACCGGCGCTCACTCGCAGTACATCGTCGCCGACGAAAGTCATGTAATTGTCTGAAAATACATAACAAACAAATTGTCATTAGTTTTTAAATACACTCTTTAATGACTTAAATCTAATTATAACGATAACATCACATCAATCATTGCTTTCATTACAATTTATGGCATTTATTTGATTTCATTACGACTATAGTTATGCCTAAAGCCCGACAATCTGTCGCCGACAGAAGCGGCGGCCATACCGTACGTCGGACTGACCGCGTGGTCCGCCATAAGTACGATCGGCGGACTCGACCACCGAAATGCCTTTAATAAGAGGTTTGTAATTGTGTTTTGTGTCAAACATTGTTATTGAAACTGATTGTATGAACGCAAACATAAGGGCACTGGTGTTGGGCGGCAGCGGAGGCGTCGGCACATTCGCCATACAACTGTTGAAGGCTTGGGGCGCACACGTGACCACCACGTGTTCGGCCGACGCCACGGACTTTGTGTACGACCAGACGGGCGCCGATCTATGCGTCGACTATAACGACGCAAACGAGTTGAACGCCAATTGTGCCGAGAGTTTTGACTTCGTATTGAACGCGGCGTCTGCGGCGCCCGACTCCGCCACCGCCGACACCGGCACTCAGTATTTGCGGAAATGGAAGTGCGGCACATATGTAACGCTGACCACACCGTTGTTGGCCAACGCCGACCGGTACGGCCTCGTTCTCGGCACCGGTCTGTCCGCACTGACGGCCGTACGACAGACTGTCAACAACGCGCTCGTCGACGGCCGCAGTGCCCGCTGGGCCTACTATATGCCCGATCGGCGCGCTCTGGAGGCCATCGCACAGTTGGCGCGACAAAGTCTCGTCAAACCAGTCATCGAGAAAACGTACGCTTTTAATGATTTGCCGCTCGCATATCGACGGGTGGCTGACGGCCACTCCCGGGGCAAGACTGCGCTCGAGTTCACATAATAACACCGTTTGTTTGTTTGTTTCAATTTGTCATTTAGTTGTTAAAACTTTTTTACAAATGATTTGTCGCTGTTTTTGTCACAAAAATATATATATATGTAATCATTTAATATTGTTTTGTAATTAAATTATAATTTTTACTATAATTAGTAATAATTGTTATCAATTGAAACAAATTAAAGGCAAACATAAAATGGAAATCATTTTCATGTGTGTAAATATCGATACCTTGTAATTGAAATAAAAATAATTTAAATTATGCAAAAATATCTATTAATTAAATTAAATTAAACTAGAAATTAAATTATAAACTAAAAACACTTTACAAGTTATGTATTGTGTGTGTATTTAAAAATAAATTATGATAAGAATTTCGCATAAAATCACAAACAAAACACTAAATCAATGAATTACTTGTGAGAACAATGGGTTTGGTTTGTAATCAATTAAATCAATCAAATCTTTAGGTAATTAAATGATAAAATGTATTCAAAACTCATGGCTCGCGAAGAAATGTGTATAAAATATAGGCTATGAATGAGACATAAAATTAACAGTAATTCCGGTGTTTTGATCTCAAAACCAATTATTTGTTTAAATATATTAATTTAAAAACAAGTATTTTTGTTATATTAAAGTTAAACTAAATTTAGTGTTATTTCATATGTATATGTATTTAATGTTAATTTTTAGACAAAATATCAATTATTAAAACTAAGATATGGATAAAAATTGTATGAATGAAAGCAATGATTGATTATAAGCTCCGATAAAAACAAACAAATAGCGATTCACTCGTGATATCAATTCAATGAATAATTAGATTTAAATTAAAAACTTATTTCCCGATCGAAACAATAATTTGAGTAAAACTAAAAACAAAACCATTTGTTTCAAGCAATTTCGTGTGTAAAACACCGCAAATATAATCAACAAAACAATTGTAATAATTAAAAAACACTTAAATAATAAATCAATCGATTAATGGAGTAAAATGTTAAATTAAAAAATAGTAATTGTCAACAAATAAAACACATGATAAATCGATAGAAATAAAAGCACATAATAATAATTAAAATTACATGACATCCGCGTACCGGCGGTCGGCGGGCAATGGATAATAAAGCTAACCATACATTCGAGGCGACGGCTGCGGCGGAGAGAGGTGTCGGTCAGGAACGTCGGCCGTAGACGTAATTATAGCCATAAAAATTAGTACCAGTAGTTAAACTTAGATAGCCGTCGGGTTGGGATGTGTTGATGTGTCGGTGGTCTGCGGCCACTCTCACAGAAGCGGACTATCATTAGGAGTGACACTCTTTTTGTTTGCTTTGACGAGCGATGCGTTCTGTTTGGACAGTTGTGCGATCTTTTGCTGCAATTCCTGCACTTTCTCGGAGTGGCGACGAGTCGTGTCGTTCAACTTCTCGCGCGCGTCCCGTATCTCTTTGCTGTGCTCTGACTTCAATACTGTTATCTATAATACGGTATAAAACACATGTGATTCAAAACGGTTCCCAAAACCCTTCCCATTGCTGACCAAAAGTCATTACCTCTTTGTCTTTGTTTAGTAAATCCCTTTCCTTGTTCTTGATCTGCTTCTTGAGCGCCAAAACCTGTTCTCTGAGGTGCGCCACCGTTACCATTGTGTCGGCACTGTTCGGATCCATTGACGTGTCATTTATGGACGACGAAGCGGTGGTCGTTATGCCCACGTTGTTAGTGGCCGTCGAGCCCGTCGTTCCGTTTCGTTCCGGTTTTGTTAAGTCGATTCGCGGCTTTTTGGCCGATGAGGCCGACGCACCCGCGCCTGAACTCACCCCTATATGCGCGTTGTTTGAGCCGCTATTGCGCCGATGGTGTCGATGAGAGCCATCTCTAACCAATCAAATTAACATTAGAAACATTGACGAGAGAGAGAGAGAGGGAGGGGGAGGGGGAGAGAGAGAGAGAGAG